ACCAACATTAAGTTTTGTTTTGTTTTGTTTTGTTTTGAGTTGGAGTCTCACTCTGTCGCCCAGACTGGAGTACAGTGGCATGCTCCTGGTCACCGCAGCCTCCACCTGCTGGGCTCCGGCGATCCTTCCGCCTCAGTCTTCCAAGTAGCTGGAACTACAGGCGCGTGCTACCACGCCTGGCTAATTTTTTGAATTATTGTAGAGATGAGGTCTCACCAAGTTGCCCAGGTGGGTCTCGAAGCCGCGGGCTCAGGCAATCCACTCAGCCTCCCAAAGCGCGGGATTACAGGCTGAGCCACCAAGCCCGGCTAACATTAAGTTTTAAATGTGAAATATTTTCATTGAAAGGGACATTAGAGATGATCTAATCCATCCTTTTTATAGGTGAAAAAACTGAAAGTAGATAGAAGTTGAGGTGAATCTTGCAGGTCTCTCAACACCCACCCTTAATTGCTTTTTCCAACATGCCACGAACCTCAGTGTTTGTGTGTGTGTGTTTATACCTGGTTTGAAAACCTCTTATACCCCTGGGCTAAGCAGCAATAACTCAAAAATTTTTTACATCTAAATTTCTGACTTAAAGATTCTGTTTACTGCCATTGGTATTTAGTCAGTACCCATCAGATGACTGCTCTCATATTTTAAACCTAGGATTATAGATGGAGGACATTTAGAAAAGAGAATTTGTGCCTCTTCTTTAGAGAATTCTTGAAAGGTATAGATAAGCTTGACAATTCATCTATCTTTAGACATTTTAATCTCAGCCAAGCCTAATATGCTCCCCTAATTACAATGATATATTTTCCAAATTAGAAATCAAGACACATGGCCTAACACATGGTCCTGCAATTCTGGATGTTTGGTACACTAACATCATTTGCCTAATAATAAGAAAAATTATGCTCCCGGGGCACATGAAAATTCAAGTGTTTCTCTCTTGGTAAGCCATTCCCAAAATATCCTACCTAGTTTCTGGCAGGTTTTCTGCTTAACTAATTAAAAAAATGACTCATTTTCATCACAAATGGAATTAATGGTTATTATAGAAAAACCATACAAATTACCAAAAAGAAGAAGACCGAACAAATAATTGATGTTCAGTATTTCAGCGATCTTTCATCATAAGGAAGAGACATTTTAATATAAAAGTTTGCCATAATTTCACAATTCCACTCTTCTTTGTTTGAAAGTGAAAAACCCAAACGTGTAAAAAAAGATCCAGAATTCAAAGAGTCACCGAGTGAAACTTCTATGTTTTAGAAATCTGAACAATAAACATGAGATCTGTCACCTGACTACTCCCCACCCTCGCCCCTTCCACAAACCCATCTTCCCTTCTCTTCCCCGCAGGCGTTGAGATTTCAGAAACATCCTATCCCAACGCGATTCCTTCCCAAAGGGGGAGGCGGGAGAATCGGGGTGAAGACATTCAGATCCGCGCCCAGACGGCGAAACGCGTCTTGGCCCGACACGCGAGGCGGGTTCGCGCCGGAGGAGCACCGCGGGTCTGCACAGCCCGCCCCGCGGACACCCCACTCCCGGGTAAGCTGCGTTTTGATTCCCCGATAGCAGGTTGAGAGGGCAGGCTGCGCAGTTTGGAGGCGAAGGCGGCGCCCCGACCGGTGTTTTTCCAGGAAGCGCTCCGAGAATGCAGAGGAAAGGGGAAAGGGGAAGGCGGGCCCTGGGCGCTTCATTCACGGCTTCTCTCCCTCCCGCTCCCCTCCTCCGCTCCCCCCGACCCGGGCTCCCCTGTTCCCAGCCCGGGTCTGACGTCCGTCTCCTGGATACCAGGCAGCCAATCGCCCGGCGGCCGGGGGCCAGCGCGGCCAATCGGGCGTCGTTGCTACCTGGGAGTCATATTTTTAGCAGCGGGGACGCGCGAGTCCACGCCCCCGTCGCCCCGTGCGTTTCGCGGGGGCAGGTGGTGGAGCAGGGCGCTCCCGCGCTCGCCCCGCCCCGACGCCCCAGGTACCCGCACATCCGGCGGCTCACGAGCCTCCCAAGCGCGCGCGACGGGGCGGCGCCGCGCCCGTTCCGTGCACCTGTGTCCAAGCCCGGGCCACGCGCGCGGCCGTGTG